ACGACACACATACACTGAAGGGAGACAGACACAGACGACACACACAGACATTGACGAGAGACAGACACAGACGAAACACACAGACATTGAAGAGAATCAAACACAGAGGACACAAACGTACACTGAAGAGAGACAGACACAGACGACACACACAGACATTGAAGAGAGACAGACACAGACGGCACACACAGACATAGAAGAGAGACAGACACAGACGACACACACAGACATCGAAGACACACAGACACAGACGACACACACAGACATTGAAGAGAGACAGTCACGGACGACACACACAGTCATTGGAGAGAGACAGACACAGACGACACACACATAAACTGAAGAGAGACAGACACAGACGACACACACATTTATTGAAGAGTGACAGACACAGACGACACACACATACACTGAAGAGAGACAGACACAGACGACACACACATACACTGAGGAGAGACAGACACAGACGACACACACATACACTGAGGAGAGACAGACACAGACGACACACACAGACATTGAAGAGATACAGACACATTCGACACACACATACATCGAAGAGAGACAGACACAGACGACACACAGACACTGAAGAGATACAGACACAGACGACACACACATACACTGAGGAGAGACAGACACAGACGACACACACAAACATTGAAGAGAGACAGACACAGACGACACACACAGCCATTGAAGAGAGACAGACACAGACGACACACACAGACATTGAAGAGAGACAGTCACGACGACACACACAGACATTGGAGAGAGACAGACACAGACGACACACACATACACTGAAGAGAGACAGACACAGACGACACACACAGACAATGAAGAGAGACAGACACAGACGACACACACAGCCATTGAAGAGAGACAGACACAGACGACACACACAGACATTGAAGAGAATCAAACACAGACGACACACACATACACTGAGGAGAGACAGACACAGACGACACACACATACACTGAAGAGAGACAGACACAGACGACACACACAAACATTGAAGAGATACAGACACATTCGACACACACAGACATCGAAGACAGACAGACACAGACGACACACACAGACAATGAAGAGAGACAGACACAGACGATACACACAGACATCGAAGACAGACAGACACAGACGACACACACATACACTGAAGAGAGACAGACACAGACGACACACACAGACAATGAAGAGAGACAGACACAGACGACACACACAGACATCGAAGACAGACAGACACAGACGACACACAGACACTGAAGAGAGACAGACACAGACGACACACACAGCCATTGAAGAGAGACAGACACAGACGACACACACATACACTGAATAGAGACAGACACAGACGACACACACAGCCATTGAAGAGAGACAGACACAGACGACACACACAGACATTGAAGAGAGATAGACACAGACGACACACACAGCCATTGAAGAGAGACAGACACAGACGACACACACATACACTGAATAGAGACAGACACAGACGACACACACAGACACTGAAGAGAGACAGACACAGACGACACACACAAACATTGAAGAGATACAGACACATTCGACACACACAGACATCGAAGACAGACAGACACAGACGACACACACAGACAATGAAGAGAGACAGACACAGACGATACACACAGACATCGAAGACAGACAGACACAGACGACACACACATACACTGAAGAGAGACAGACACAGACGACACACACAGACAATGAAGAGAGACAGACACAGACGACACACACAGACATCGAAGACAGACAGACACAGACGACACACAGACACTGAAGAGAGACAGACACAGACGACACACACAGACAATGAAGAGAGACAGACACAGACGACACACACATACACTGAATAGAGACAGACACAGACGACACACACATCCATTGAAGAGAGACAGACACAGACGACACGCACAGCCATTGAAGAGAGACAGACACAGACGACACACACATACACTGAAGAGAGACAGACACAAACGACACACACATACACTGAATAGAGACAGACACAGACGACACACACAGACATTGAAGAGAGACAGACACAGACGACACACACAGCCATTGAAGAGAGACAGACACAGACGACACACACATACACTGAAGAGAGACAGACACAGACGACACACACATACACTGAAGAGAGACAGACACAGACGACACACACAGACAATGAAGAGAGACAGACACAGACGACACACACAGCCATTGAAGAGAGACAGACACAGACGACACACACAGACATTGAAGAGAATCAAACACAGACGACACACACATACACTGAGGAGAGACAGACACAGACGACACACACATACACTGAAGAGAGACAGACACAGACGACACACACAGACATTGAAGAGAGACAGACACAGACGACACACACAGACATTGAAGAGAATCAAACACAGACGACACACACATACACTGAGGAGAGACAGACACAGACGACACACACAAACATTGAAGAGATACAGACACATTCGACACACACAGACATCGAAGACAGACAGACACAGACGACACACAGACACTGAAGAGAGACAGACACAGACGACACACACATACAATGAAGAGAGACAGACACAGACGACACACCCAGACACTGAAGAGGGACAGACACAGACGACACACACAGGCAATGAAGAGAGACAGACACAGACGACACACACATACACTGAAGAGAGACAGACACAGACGACACACAAACATTGAAGAGATACAGACACATACGACACACACAGACATCGAAGAGAGACAGACACAGACGACACACAGGCACTGAAGAGAGACAGACACAGACGACACACACAAACAATGAAGAGAGACAGACACAGACGACACACACATACAATGAAGAGAGACAGACACAGACGACACACACAGACAATGAAGAGAGACAGACACAGACGACACACACAGACATTGAAGAGAATCAAACACAGACGAGACACACAAACATTGAAGAGATACAGACACAGACGACACACAGACACTGAAGAAAGACTGACACACTCGACAGACACAAACAACAGACATAGATGACAGTGGTGTCGCCATCAGTGCATGCCCCAGCACAGTTTAAACTCATGACCCCAGCAACACGTGTCATTGCCGGGTACACTTTCGTCTGTACACAGTTTAATGTTGATGCGGTATCTTTTGTTTTGGTATCGATTGCGCGCAGTGGAACCAGGCCTTGCGTTAGTGCACATTGATCCAGGACTTGCTGAGCTGCACCCTAGGCAACAGGCTGATTCTGTGGTCCATTGATTTCCATCTTCATCTGTTAAGTGCCGTCTAAAGTACATAGATACCACATTTGTTTGCTGACAAACTACCATTGCGTTCAGTTACCATGCTACGGTCATGACATCAGCGTTGTCTCTGAGGTTGGAATAAACTGTTTATAACCTTGTATATCAAACCATAGTTCACAGTCGGATCTGCTGGTAGTAACAAAAGTCTAATCTATCTTAGTACTAATATAATCTGTGAATAAACTCAAATTATAATGTGTGACGTCACTTGTCTCGAGTGACACGTGTCCTAAGTACGGGGTATTGTGGAGACAAAGTTCCATGTGTGGTACAGTGAGTACAGAACACACTATAAGTTAGCATGATCACAAGGGGTACATGGGGATTTGTGCGTCCCGCGTTAGATTTATACCACGAGCCGAGGTATAAGTGAGTGAGTTGGGTTTAACGCCGCTTTTAACAGTATTCCAGTTACATCGCGGTTTGTCAGCTTAATGTGGGAGGCAAGCCCGAAGTGATGCAGGTCTCAGACGGTTACCACTTCGGTGAAACCCACGAGCACGGGTATGGTGCTGACAAACCTAGAAACATAATCGTGGCGAACCGGGATTCGAACCCACAATCATAGGTGTCTGGCGTGCCCAAGGGACGCAACTCTGTACAGCGAATCGAGACGCCTTAGACGACTGGGCCACCCGTGCCCTCCCAAGGTATAAAACCTAGCGAGGGACATATACAACCCCGTGTACCCCGAGTGATCCTGCTGCAACGAATTTATCTTACCGACATGTTTTAATATGACATTGTAAAAGAATTCAAACAAATTCAAAATTGATAGAAAACAGCTGTTCGATTGAGCTGAGATTGCGCTATGTCACGTAACTTCCACGTAACTCGGAAAAAGCGTGCGTCTTTTTGCTTGGAAGCGGGTTATTAGGGCTTTATTGTCTCCCAGAAATCCACGTGCAGCCGCAGCCTGATTTGCTCGTGTCGGGGTATAAGACACGGGCTAATGTTTTTCGACCCGTTCGACCCGTGAAGATCCGGGTAAGAATAGGTTTTCAACCCATGCTTGCCGTAAAAGACGACTATGCCTGTCGTAAAAGGCAACTAACGGGATCGGGTGGTCAGGTTCGCTGACTTGGTTGATTCATGTCATCGATCCCAATTGCGTAGATCGATGTTCATGATGTCAATCACTGGATTGTCTGGTCCAGACTCGATTATTTACAAACCGCCGTCATATAGCTGGAATATTGCTGAGTGCGGCGTAAAACAGCAAACCAACAAAATACCCGTTCATCTATAATAATTCTAATCATGTGTAAAAACTCAATTGTTATGTTATCACAAGATATCTAATTTTAATGTTTGCTGCATTTTGAATAGAGCATCTGTTTCGCACGAGATTTAATAGCTCGTCTTGTAATTGTATGGGGTCATTGATAGGTCAAATAGTGTGCGTGCAGGGGCATTGGTCATATTGATATAAGCTGGCTGCGTTCTTCCAAAATGACGCTCAGTCATCACCCTAAATAACATTGACTGTCTGTCGTCCAGAATACCCGAGACAGTGAGTGGGGAAGCCTTGTGCACGTGGTTAACGTTAGCGTTCAGTTAGCTGAAAACTCACTCACTCACTCACTCACTGGCTCACTCACTCACTCACTCACTCACTCACTCAGCATTACATTTGATAACATCACATAGAGTTTATTTGGGAAACATATAATTTTATTCAGATATATACAAGTAACAATCTCCGTGCTGTGTGTGTCTGGTCCAAATCATTAAAGTTCCTCGATATATACCGAGCAGTTATATACATCCTTCGTCAGACATGATAACATGGAGTTATTCCGGGCGTAACTGTTTTATATACACGACAGAAACAGGGCAATGTTTGTGAAACTACCCACAAATTAGTGAAGAATAATTCAACAGGTATCACTCACTGAACTGCTGTAGACGTGTAGCGGAATGAAGGATGTAAACTGATGACGAAACAGTATACCATTCGTTAAGTGTTGAGATATGTCTATATGCTCCTATACACGTGTGGTAGCATAGCGTTAACAGGAAGAGAACATTATCACATCAGAGAATCGACAGTCTGGAATCAAAACAGCTTGTATCTTGTAGAAGTGTAGCACCTATTGGGAAAACCATATTGCTGTGATCAACGTAAAGCCATTCGTCCTAATACCAGGGTCTCGACAAACTACCAGGTGCAATGACAGGGGTGTATAAGTGACTATACTCGTCTTTAAAACAAAATGGGTTAACGTTCACATCGAAGGTTTCACAACAGAGACCGAAATCCATCTTACATTTGTAAACTGGCAAACGTCAATCTTTGTTTATAACATAAAGTTCCTTATATATGTAATTCTCTCAATGAGTTGATTGTTTTCATATATCAGCACGTACAATAGTATAATTTCTCAGAAATGTTCAAGTTTCTTCACGTTGACTGATGACGTTGTTCGACGTCGCGGCGTCAACCTAAGCGTGAGGGTTATGGAGACGCACGCTCTCGGACGTCGGGATGCACATGTCCAGGAACTGACAGACCAGTCCTATGAACAGACAGACGTAGGACACAACGACCAGAGCGAAGGACCAGCCCAGGTCGTAGATGGTCTCGCTCCACACCTCCCCGTAGCGCCCAGCGTACACCACGAACCCGATGAAGATGAAGACGACTGAAATAACAAGGTTGCACTGAAAGGATGCAGCTGTCACACACCTCTAATACATGTGCCTTAATTACAATTAGATCAGTATGGTGGACACCCAAGGCGTAATTGTAAAGAGCGTCATACGACTCTTGCTCCAAAGTTTGTTGCAATTAGGTCAGGGTTAAACATTCAAGGTCTTAGTAAAGCTTTCAAAAAGTTTTATGTTGGACATGTGGAGGACGTATAAGTACATGAATGATGTCTGATGCAGTTCCCTTATTTGTCCTGTACCATTAATTTTGTGTATTTTTTCAGGTGACTAATTGGGCTGCCTGTGCGTGTATTTGTGACGGGTACCTTTTCAATAACACCTGGTATCATCACTATTTGATAGTGGTTTATAAACGTATATACTTAAGTTGAAATAGTAGAAAGGAATCAGCTTTTTGCAGAGAGTTCTTATGATTGTGGAAGGGTTAAATCGCTTTTATTTACAAGTGATCCTGTTTCCAAGTGTTACTGTGTGGGATATATTGTCTATTGCAAACCGGGTATGACGGGTACACAAAATTGATTTCCACTGATACGGGTATGCCTTCCTTGCATTGTCCAGTCATACGTGTATACGTGACATGGCTTTGTGTGGAGACCCATCCATTTGTTGCAGGGCATTGTGACGTCAGAAACAAAACTGAATTTTCAGCAACTTACTTTTTCAGCAGCTGGGGACAACAATATGAAGCGATTGATATGAATACTAACGGCGGTAGATATTATATACAGTCGGAATTGCTTCTTTGGTGATGATATGCTATTTTATCATATTTTCATGCAAGAAAGTACCGGACAAGACATAACTAATTGACATTAGTTTAATGTTTCGTATTTTGAGAGTGATGGGATATCCTAGTGCTTAAGGCTTTCGCTCGTCACTCCGAAGACCCGGGTTCGATTCCCCACATGAGAACAATGTGTGAAGACCATTTCTGGTGTCCCCCGCCGTGATGTTGCTGGAATATTGCTAAAAGCGGCGTAAAACACTACTTGCTCGTATTTTGAAAAGCTTTATGACCTTTCGTCCTGACCTAAAACAAATTTGTTCACATATTCAATAAGCAACCTGATATGGCTGAGCAGACCGACTCACTCGATGTGCTGTTGACGACGACAGCAACGAGCCTCATGATCCTGTTGTTGTTGAGGATGACGGTGTACACGATGGCGGTGATGAGGGCGGCGACGAGGAACAGGAAGCCGATGATTTGGAACGCCTGAGACACCTTGTACCAGTCTTTGGCTGGAGACAGAGAAGGTTGAAGAAAATTACATTGTCAACTGAAGTACAAACATAATCTGGTCCCGAAAATGCTGGGGAGAAAAATGTCCTCACGTTTTTCCAAAAAGGAATAACTCATTTACTGTGCATGCTGGATGTTTGAAAAAATGTTTGTCCGTCCAAAACAAATGTTCCTTCTCCCTTTTCGATACCAGAAGCGTCTTAAACATAACCTGTCTTAAAAATGAAGTGATTCATGCCTGTGTTGTCAGTAAACAAATCCGTAATCAACGCAGATCAATACCATCACTTCAAAGAAAATAATATTCAGGTAATGACCATTATGGCTGTTTGTTTGTTGTTTAACGCTGCACTCAGCAATATTCCAGCTATATGACGGCGGTCTGTAAATAATCGAGTCTGGACCTGACAATCTAGTGAATGACATCATGTGCATCGATCTACGCAATTGGGATACGGTGACATGCATCAACCAAGTCAGCGAGCCTGACCACCCGATCCCTTTAGTCGCCTCTTACAAAATGCATCGTCGCCTTTTACGACAAGAATTCTATTCTAACCCGGATCTTCACGGGCATATCATAGTTAATATAAGGTGGTATTGAAATGTACAACAATTACCGAAATGAATGTTAGTTTATGCTCTAGCTCTAAGATCACGATCGAAAGGGTCAATGACACCGTTCGGTGAAACATTTAATTTATAGATTTGTATTTTTATATATCGACTATTTATAAACTTTCAGTCTGTTGAGATTGCTTCGTGTAACGGGCTTAACATTGTCTTATGAGATCTAAATTACGACCTAGGGTTCATTGTGTGGACATTAGGTGTTAATGTATTTTAATGAAATGGGTAATTTTTTAAATTGTAGTTCAATTAATATCTTAATTATTGCAATCATGTTACTATTTAAAGTACAAAATTATGTTGCTTTTGGCTGTGATTGGTTCATCAGGTATAGCGTCTCGTGCACCGCAATGTGCTCTGCGGGTTGTGTCCTTAAGGTGTGCAGGAATCCGCTGAGTTTGAATCCATATTTCATCCCGAACAAGATTCTTGGTTGGTCAGCATCATGTCCTGTGGTTCATCAAAGTTGTAAACTCTAAACTGTTGCATCACTTCGGACTTTCTTGGGGGGCACGGGTGGCCAAGTCGTCTAAGGCGCCGCAATTCGCTGTGCAGAGTTGCGTCCCTTCGGCAGGCCAGAAACCTATGATTGTGGGTTCTAGGTTTGTCAGCACCATACCCGTGCTCGTGGGTTTCACCGAAGTGGTAAACGTCTGAGACCTGCATCACTTCGGGCTTTCCTCCCACATTAAGCTGACACGCCGTGATATGACTTGAATAATGTTAAAAGCGGCGTTAAACACAACTCACTCACTCGGACTTTCTTGCCACATCAACACGCCGAGATGAAACAGAAGCATGTTTTCAAAGCGGTGTACAGTGCCTCTCACCTGCTCGTTCATGATGAATGATTACTTTCATTCTGACAGAATATTTTACAAGCCTGATAAAAGTTCACGTCTACACCTTGTTCATGGCGTTGGAACATCATTCAGAAGTCGGCAGTTATTCATTACATGGGTCGTTTCCCCCTTGTAACTTCCACAAATGTCAAATGCGGAAATGGTCACGCATGGTTAACCGCACGGTTCTTCATTTATGCTAACTTCTGGTCACATGATATCGGCGAAATAGCTCTATCAATTGATATTTCAGTGTTGCTTTCGATACTTCGGGTAATTTACAGTTAAGATAATTCGTATTATTTGCCAGGCCTTTCGCCGTTCACGTATCGATTGCGTTCTGATCGTGTTTGTGATCTGAAGTAAGGAACACAGTCTGTTCAGCCATGCACCAATATTGTGGCGTTTCTAAGGAGACGCTTCCATGCATCTACTGAATAAAGAATGGCATTAAAGTTACATGGAGGTGATGCCAATCTATGGAATCTGTCTTGGTAACCCCATAATATTTACCACATCTTTGTCACTATTCCACAACGTAATCATCACGGGGATTACAATGTCACTATTCCACAACGCCAGCACCGCTGTGTTTACAATGTCACTAAACCACAACGTCAGCACAGCTGTGTTTACAATGTCACTAATATAAACCACAACGTCAGCACCACGGTGTTTACAATGTCACTATTCCACAACGTCAGCACTTTGTGTTTATAATGTCACTATTCCACAACGTCAGCACACCTGTGTTTATAATGTCACTATTCCACAACGTCAGCACTTCTGTGTTTATAATGTCACTATTCCACAACATCAGCATCACGGGGTTTATAATGTCACTATTCATCAACGTCAGCACTGAGGTGTTTATAATGTCACTTTTACACAACGTCAGCACCACGGTGTTTATAATGTCACCATTTCACAACGTCAGCACTGCGGTGCTTATAATGTCACTATTCCACAACGTTAGCATCACGGGGTTTAAAATGTCACTATTCCACAACGTCAGCACTTCTGTGTTTATAATGTCACTATTCCACAACGTCAGCACTGCGGTGTTTATAATGTCACTATTCCACAACGTCAGCACTGCTGTGTTTAAAATGTCACTATTCTACAACGTCAGCACTTTGTGTTTATAATGTCACTATTCCACAACGTCAGCACTGCTGTGTTTATAATGTCACTATTCCACAACGTCAGCACTGCTGTGTTTATAATGTCACTATTCCACAACGTCAGCTGCACGGTGTTTATAATGTCACTATTCCACAACGTCAGCACTGCTGTGTTTATAATGTTACTATTCCACAACGTCAGCACTGCTGTGTTTATAATGTCACTATTCCACAACGTCAGCACCACGGGGTTTATAATGTCACTATTCCACAACGTCAGCTGCACGGTGTTTATAATGTCACTATTCCACAACGTCAGCACTGCGGTGTTTATAATGTCACTATTCCACAACGTCAGCACTGCTGTGTTTATAATGTCACTATTCCACAACGTCAGCACTGCTGGATTTATAATGTCACTATTCCACGTCAGCACTCCGGTGTATATAATGTCACTATTCCACAACGTCAGCACTGCGGTGTTTATAATGTCACTATTCATCAACGTCAGCACTGCTGTGTTTATAATGTCACTATTCCACAACGTCGGCACTGCTGTGTTTATAATGTCACTATTCATCAACGTCAGCACTGCGTTGTTTATAATGTCACTATTCCACAACGTCAGCACTGCTGTGTATATAATGTCACTTTTCCACAACGTCAGCACTGCTGGGTTTATAATGTCACTATTCCACAACGTCAGCACTGAGGTGTTTATAATGTCACTATTCCACAACGTCAGCACTGCTGTGTTTATAATATCACTATTACACAACGTCAGCACTGCGGTGCTTATAATGTCACTATTCATCAACGTCAGCATCACGGGGTTTAAAATGTCACTATTCATCAACGTCAGCACTGCAATGTTTGTAATGTCACTATTCCACAACGTCAGCACTGCTGTGTTTATAATGTCACTATTCCACAACGTCAGCACTGCGGTGCTTATAATGTCACTATTCCACAACGTCAGCACTGCTGTGTTTATAATATCACTATTACACAACGTCAGCACTGCGGTGCTTATAATGTCACTATTCCACTACGTCAGCATCACGGGGTTTATAATGTCACTATTCCACAACGTCAGCACTGCTGTGTTTATAATGTCACTATTCCACAACGTTAGCACTGCTGTGTTTATAATATCACTATTACACAACGTCAGCACTGCGGTGCTTATAATGTCACTATTCCACAACGTCAGCATCACGGGGTTTAAAATGTCACTATTCCACAACGTCAGCACTGCTGTGTTTATAATGTCACTATTCAACAACGTCAGCACTGCTGTGTTTATAATGTCACTATTCCACAACGTTACCATCACGGGGTTTAAAATGTCACTATTCCACAACGTCAGCGCTTCTGTGTTTATAATGTCACTATTCAACAACGTCAGCACTGCTGTGTTTATAATGTCACTATTTCACAACGTCAGCACTGCGTTGCTTATAATGTCACTATTACACAACGTCAGCACTGCTGTGTTTATAATGTCACTATTCCACAACGTCAGCACTGCGGTGCTTATAATGTCACTATTACACAACGTCAACACTGCGGTGTTTATAATGTCACTATTCCACAACATCAGCATCACGGTGTTTATAATGTCACTATTCAACAACGTCAGCACTGCGGTGTTTATAATGTCACTATTCCACAACGTCAGCATCACGTTGTTTACAATGTCACTATTCCACAACGTCAGCATCACGGGGTTTATAATGTCACTATTCCACAACGTCAGCATCACGTTGTTTACAATGTCACTATTCCACAACGTCAGCATCACGGGGTTTAAAATATCGCTATTCCACAACGTCAGCACCACGGTGTTAACAATGTCACTTTTCCACAACGTCAGCATCACGGTGTTAACAATGTCATCGGAATCGACCAACACACGGTGTCTGCAACTGTTGAGGTACACCTGAGCATGCTCTTCCTTCCATGATAAAGAGCGTCGTGTTTAATCACAGTCACAGCCTTCAAGGTTTCAGTACATGTTTCCAACACGTCTTGAGGACTTTTCCAAACTTGACTCATCAGCGACTAAAATTATGCTCAATATTTATTTTAGATTGTATCATTTTGCTCCTGATTTGTTCAAGTGAACGTTTGCCTTGCCTTTGTGTTTGTGACCGGTGCTACCGCCTCCGTGGTCTTGTGGTAGAGCATCCGCCCGGAGAGCGGAAGGTCCGGGGTTCGATCCCCGGCTGCGTCATACCAAAAGACGTAAAAATATGGTACTTGTTGTTACCATGTCTGGCGCTCGGCATTAAGGGGCTAAAATGTTACAAGGACTGGTCGGCTCGGAGTCAGTATACTGTGTCTGAGTGGGGTATTCATGTTAAACTGCGGCATTGTATCTCAGTGGGCTAGCGCTTCAAGTCGGCATCAGTCCGGACTAGCACACACACGCACACACGCACACACGCACACACACACACACGTGCATGCACGTCGCTCTATAAAGGCAATAATCTTAAAGAGCACCTGGTGTCATCACTATTTAAATATGATTCAGGAACAAATGCTTGTGATGTTGTTAGAAACGAATGGACTTTAGAATATCATTATCTGCAATCTCCCTAGGCATAATCAGCTTTTGAAACTTCAAATGCATGTTGTATTAACATATGTAGATGTTAATATTGTATATTCGTAAGTGTTGTAAATGCGTGAGTGAGTATGGTTTAACGCCGCTTTTAGCAATATTCCAGCAATATCACGGCGGGGGACACAAGAAATGGGCTTTACACTTTGTACCCATGTCGGGAATCGAACCCGGCATCATGTTAAATAGTTATGACTGCTGGGACCATACCGACAACGGCAATAGTGACCCCGTGACGGCAGTGGTGGTTTGCATTTGCAAACAATTCAGCGATTCAAGGTACATTCGCCATGTTGCCAGATCCCATCACGCTCGCCAAGACCTATGTTCAGTACATTGCCAGGATCTATGTTGGATTGAATGAGTTAGCCACGTGTAGTTTAGTGTAGACATTAACTTAGGAATATGTTCAGACCGTAAGCGAAAATAGAGACAGGACAAGGTGTCTTGTTCACATCTATGGATCATATCGAGAATCAAACATGGCAGGTATCGATACCAGTTGTCGATATCCCAACTTGTCATCGATATATTGTTCTGTTGATCGTCACATCCCTATTGATGTCAAACGCCATATGCAGATGGCAATAAGTAAAGTATGATATTTTTGTATATAAAGATGCGTGTCTGTTCAATGTGACGTTATTTTGATCATTTGCAGCCTGCTACCTTGTGCACATCAATATCCAGTAGCAGTGCCGAGGCCTATTATTTATAAGGAACTCTATGTGAGATCAGTCCGTTCTCAAAACACCGCCCTTCATTGCACTTTCACAAAACATGCTACTGTGAAAAATATTTCAAACATAAACCAGATCTCTTTGTAATTTAATTGATTAATTTATTCTATATGAGCCGCCATTGTATTGTGCACGTGGAATATATTTTCCCCGCCGTTGCACGTGCGCCAAGCTCCGTCGCGAGCCGATCTTTACAATTATTATACAAGCTGGAGGGCTCTGTTCAATTTCTTGGGCTCCAAAACGAGTACTTTATAAATCGCTTGGGCGTATTAAAACATGCTGACGGGAATAATAGGAAATTTTGAGCCTGAACAAGGATATTTAATGTTTACCTGTTGTTCCTTTTACTCGTCAAAGGTTTATCAAATTAAGAATGAACATACTTATTCTGTCACTTAGTATTATAAGTTATTTTTCTGGAGCTTTTAAAAATATTAAGAATATATGAAAATGTGTAATAGTCACATTGCGTCGCTGAAGCTGATATTCGAAACTGAATTTGTTCATTTGTCAAAATATGAAAAAATAGTTCCTTGTATTCCAAGTGTGCAAATTGATTAAAATTTTAGTTCAAGATATTATATAATGGACAACAAGCTGTCAATTTTTGGAAAAAATGCAGCCTTTGATAAATAGAATGACGTCAGAGATGAGTTTTAAACTTACGAAAACGCCTTAAGGTATCCCCACGCATCTGAGTCCATAATGATTGCGATGTATTGATTGAAACGTTCGCTCACAATAACTTTTAAAGTTATTTGATGTAAACCTGTTTATTATCTGAGAAGATTATAGATAACAATTATTTGTATTCCTGTTTGGAACATGTTTTTAATGTATGACATACTAAAAGTAGCATTACTACAAATGAAACATCAGTTTATCACAAATACAATCGATTGATATTATGTTTCAGTTATAACAATATAAACATGATCACAGTTACTTTTGCCATTGAGTGTATGTAGGTAGCTTATCTGTATCGACGTAAACTACTGAAGCGAGGTACACAAATGTAGCTGGGTAAAATATTGTAGTGACGCATGATACTCTAGCAAGGTTTAATAATGTAGCAAGGTTTAATGATGTAGCAAGGTTTAATAATGTAGCAAGGTTTAATGATGTAGCAAGGTTTGATAATGTAGCAAGGTTTAATAATGTAGCAAGGTTCAATAATGTAGCAAGGTTTAATGATGTAGCAAGGTTCAATAATGTAGCAAGGTTTAATAATGTAATGAGGTATAATACTTTAGCAAGGTTTAATAATGTAGCAACGTTTAATGATGTTATGAGGTATAATAATCTAGGAAGGTTTAATGATGTAATGAGGTATAATACTTTAGCAAGGTTTAATAATGTAGCAAGGTTTTATGATGTAATGAGATATAATACTCTAGCAAGGTTTAATAATGTAGCAAGGTTTAATGATGTAATGAGGTATCATATTCAACCAAGGTTTAATAATGTAGCAAGGTTTAATGATGTAGCAAGGTTTAATAATGTAGCAAGGTTTAATGATGTAGCAAGGTTTAATAATGTAGCAAGGTTTAATAATGTACAATGTTTTATGATGTAGCAAGGTTTAATTATGTAGCAAGGTTTAATAATGTAGCAAGGTTTAATAATGTAGCAAGGTTTTATGATGTAGCAAGATTTTATGATGTAGCAAGGTTTAATGATGTAATGAGGTATAATACACTAGCAAGGTTTAATAATGTAGCAAGGTTTAATGATGTAATGAGGTATAATACTCTAGCAAGGTTTAATAATGTAGCAAAGTTTAATAATTAATGTAGCAAAGGTTTTATGATGTAATGAGGTATAATACTCTAGCAAGGTTTAATAAAGTAGCAAGGTTTTATGATGTAATGAGGTATAATACTCTAGCAAGGTTTAATAATGTAGCAAGGTTTAATGATGTAATGAGGTATCATATTCAACCAAGGTTTAATAATGTAGCAAGGTTTAATTATGTAGCAAGGTTTAATAATGTAGCAAGGTTTAATGATGTAGCAAGGTTTAATAATGTAGCAAGGTTTAATAATGTACAATGTTTTATGATGTAGCAAGGTTTAATTATGTAGCAAGGTTTAATAATGTAGCAAGGTTTAATAATGTAGCAAGGTTTTATGATGTAGCAAGATTTTATGATGTAGCAAGGTTTAATGATGTAATGAGGTATAATACACTAGCAAGGTTTAATAATGTAGCAAGGTTTAATGATGTAATGAGGTATAATACTCTAGCAAGGTTTAATAATGTAGCAAAGTTTAATAATTAATGTAGCAAAGGTTTTATGATGTAATGAGGTATAATACTCTAGCAAGGTTTAATAAAGTAGCAAGGTTTTATGATGTAATGAGGTATAATACTATAGAAAGGTTAAATGATGTAATGAGGTATAATACTCTAGCAAGGTTTAATAACGTAGCAAGATTTAATGATGTAATGAGGTATAATACTCTAGGAATGTTTAATAATGCAGCAAGGTTTAATGATGTAATGAGGTATAATACTCTAGCAAAGTTTAATAATGTAGCAAGGTTTAATGATGTAATGAGGTATAATAATCTAGCAAGGTTTAATAATGTAGCAAGGTTTAACGATGTAATGAGGTATAATAATCTAGCAAGGTTTAATAATGTAGCAAGGTTTAATGATGTTATGAGGTATAATAATCTAGCAAGGTTCAATAATGTAGCAAGATTTAATGATGTAATGAGGCATAATACTCTAGCAAGGTTTAACGATGTAGCAAGGTTTAATAATGTAGTTAGGTTTAATGATGTAATGAGGTATAATACTCTAGCAAGGTTTAATGATGTAGCAAGGTTTAATGATGTAATGAGGTATAATACTCTGGCAAGGTTTAATGATGTAGCAAGGTTTAATGATGTAGCAAGGTTTAATGATGTAATGAGGTATAATACTCTAGCAAGGTTTAATGATGTAGCAAGGTTTAATGATGTAGCATTTTTTTATGATGTGATGATGTATAATATTCAACCAAGGTTTAATAATGTAGCAAGGTTTAATGATGTAATGAGGTATAATATTCAACCAAGGTTTAATAATGTAGCAACGTTTAATGATGTAGCAATGTTTAATAATGTAGCAAGGTTTAATGATGTAATGAGGTATAATACTCTAGCAAGGTCTAATGATGTAATGAGATATAATACTCAAGCAAGGTTTAATAATGTAGCAAGGTTTAATGATGTAGGAAGGTTTAATGATGTAATGAGGTATAATACTCAACCAAGGTTTAATAATGTAGCAAGGTTTAATGATGTAATGGAGTATAATACTCAAGCAAGGTTTAACATTATAGCGATGTTTAATAATGTAGTGACGTATAACATTGTAGCGATGTTTGATCATGTAGTGACGTATAACACTGCAGTGAGGTATAACACTGTAGTGGCGTATAACACTGCAGTGAGGTATAACACTGTAGTGAGGTATAACACTGTAGTGACGTATAACACTATAGTGAGGTATAACACTGAAGTGACGTATAACACTGTAGTAAGGTATAACACTGTAGTGACGTATGACACAGAGTGACGTATAATACTGTAGTGACGTATAACACTGTAGTGAGGTATAAAGATAATTACCTGTTCCTTGGTCCACAGTGAGACACCCCAGCAGGTCACCACATGATCTGAAGAGACCCGCATTGCCTCCGTTGGTGTCTATCCAAGCGTCTGTGGGGAAGCCGACAATATGAAATATGAAGCCGACGATAATCCACGGCAGAGACACCTTGGCGTAGATGGATGCTTCCGAGAAACCCATGACGAACAGCGAACTCGCAGAGTAAAGTTCCAGTAAGTTAGTGCCTCCCCCGCCGACGTAAACACACACGTATCACCTATGTCTTGATTGTCGCCGTGTACAATCGTCTAAACTGCTGTTGCCAGTTAGTAAAGAAGTATCTTGTCAGAAGGCTGATTATCGGTTGCTCACGAAGCATTGACAAACTCGTTACTAATAGTTACCAATAACAAACACCCGACAAAGATAGACGGTTGTCACTCAACAAATCATCGACTGTCTCGCTGCTGCCTCCACTCTGACAATCCTCCCAGTGATGCGGAGAGGGATGCTGGAGGTCGATAGTCGATGGGATGGTTCCAGCTCAAATTCCGTCGGGAACACGCAAGGCGTTGTGGTGCAGGATTGTTATGGTGTTGCCTTTGGAAACGCCATCACCTTATGTCACATGATCTTAGTGGTAAAGGGATTATGTGAAGAGATAATGTTGGACGGATGATTAATTGGTTGTGTTTTTAATTTGGATCTTTAGTTGATAAGTACATGTTGCAACAATGGCGTGTTTGAATGTTTTGAAAAGGTCATTGGATATTCAATACAACAAAGCATCCAGCGGAGGCAACGATTATCAAATGGAATTCAGGGGAACTGACTAAATATGACACGTTGCTTGTCAACATGATGGCTCGATGGTGTTCTTTGGCGTTAAACAACAAACAAACAACCAAATAATTCCAAGGATCATTGCTGATGATACTAATCACTTGATTGTTTGTTAACTCGACGGTTTTCAGCCCAGCGTCGCGTAGCAGGAGTATTACTGGGTGCAGCGTTAGGCAACAAAAAACTCTTACTTTTTATGCAAATTGTGATAGGCGGTTGCTACCGGTAAGGCAGCCATGCTTACCCTTTTCGCGAACACCTGGTGTCATTGCTCATATTCTGTTTTCATCATTTGGCCTTTACACCATATAGAATCTGTTTCAGCAGAAACCTGAAATAATTATTTTCGGGTGTTGACCTACTGAATTTTAAGGTCATATTAATATCTCACTTCCGGTGTTGTTTGATCATTTGACACGCTCGACTTATTTTATCATCTTGGCCTATGGAACACGCCGGGCATCAGAACACAGCTGCTAGAGTATTGATATGGTCCTCGGGCGGTGAGCGGCGCTTAATAGTTCACAGTGCTATCTGTAAGGAGAATCGTTAGTATTTTCACCGCCGCCATGGTTATACAACAGGATGGACAGTTCATGTTGTTTTTCCATTAGTATAAGAGGCTGCGTGACGAGACAGTGTGACAGCATCCTAGATGACCTCGGTCTGATAAAAGGGGCGACATTTCAGACTGGTCATATGACAAGGAATCTGCACGGTCCCTTGGGTGGTCAGGTAGTTTACATTTCCTGTAGATTGATATTGATGAATGTGATGGGGTCAGTGATGGTGGAATATAGCGGTGGAACTTTAGCAATGTCGAGAGAACTAAACATTGCTGGTTCTGCAGTCAGGCCCAAACAGTCAGTGAGTTTCAGCCGTAACTACAACTTGGCGATGAAGATTCTCACTTCCGATGGTGATTGTTATTATGAATTATTAGATATATCAGAAGCGACATTAAACCAGCTTCCCCTCATCAATACCGAAAGACATCCCTATTACCACTGAACGGCGGGAGGCGCCAAAGCGGTGTCTTTCCTTCGTATAAACGGTGCTTGATCCGGGAACTATCTTCAATCTAGCCAGATTAATTAGGTTTAAATGTTTAAAATCTCGTGGTGACTCCGTGAAGGATGGGTTCACGAATCACATTATTCTCTATTTTGGAGATTTGAGGTTCAATCCGTTACCTCGCGCCTATGCTTGTCCCTCTGATTGAGTGAAGGCTGCTCCCCAGGCCTCTACTCTTGTCCCTCCGTCTGAATACCGTGAAGGCTGCTCCCCACTACCCCACTCTTGTCCCTCCGTCTGAATACCGTGAAGGCTGCTCCCCAGTCATCCACTCTTGTCCCTCCGTCTGAATACCATGAAGGCTGTTACCCAGTCCTCCACTCTTGTCCCTCCGTCTGAATACCGTGAAGGCTGCTCCCCACTACCCCACTCTTGTCCCTCCGTCTGAATACCATGAAGGCTGCTCCCCAGTCCTCCACTCTTGTGCCTCCGTCTGAATACCATGAAGGCTGCTCCCCACTACCCAACTCTTGTCCCTCCGTCTGAATACCGTAAAGGCTGCTCCCCACTACCCTACTCTTGTCCCTCCGTCTGAATACCGTGAAGGCTGCTCCCCAGTCTTCCACTCTTGTCCCTCCGTCTGAATACCATGAAGGCTGTTCCCCAGTCCTCCACTCTTGTCCCTCCGTCTGAATACCATGAAGGCTGCTCCCCACTACCCCACTCTTGTCCCTCCGTCTGAATACCATGAAGGCTGCTCCCCAGTCCTCCACTCTTGTCCCTCCGTCTGAATACCGTGAAGGCTGCTCCCCACTACCCCACTCTTGTCCCTCCGTCTGAATACCATGAAGGCTGCTCCCCAGTCCTCCACTCTTGTCCCTCCGTCTGAATACCGTGAAGGCTGCTCCCCAGTCCTCCACTCTTGTCGCTCCGTCTGAATACCGTGAAGGCTGCTCCCCAGTCCTCCACTCTTGTCCCTCCGTCTGAATACCATGAAGGCTGTTCCCCAGTCCTCCACTCTTGTCCCTCCGTCTGAATACCGTGAAGGCTGCTCCCCACTACCCAACTCTTGTCCCTCCGTCTGAATACCGTGAAGGCTGCTCCCCACTACCCCACTCTTGTCCCTCCGTCTGAATACCATGAAGGCTGCTCCCCAGTCCTCCACTCTTGTCCCTCCGTCTGAATACCATGAAGGCTGCTCCCCACTACCCAACTCTTGTCCCTCCGTCTGAATACCGTGAAGGCTGCTCCCCAGTCCTCCACTCTTGTCCCTCCGTCTGAATACCATGAAGGCTGTTCCCCAGTCCTCCACTCTTGTCCCTCCGTCTGAATGCCGTGAAGGCTGCTCCCCACTACCCCACTCTTGTCCCTCCGTCTGAATACCGTGAAGGCTGCTCCCCACTACCCCACTCTTGTCCCTCCGTCTGAATACCATGAAGGCTGCTCCCCAGTCCTCCACTCTTGTCCCTCCGTCTGAATACCGTGAAGGCTGCTCCCCAGTCCTCCACTCTTGTCGCTCCGTCTGAATACCGTGAAGGCTGCTCCCCACTACCCCACTCTTGTCCCTCCGTCTGAATAACGTGAAGGCTGCTCCCCAGTCCTCCACTCTTGTCCCTCCGTCTGAATACCGTGAAGGCTGCTCCCCACTACCCCACTCTTGTCCCTCCGTCTGAATACCATGAAGGCTGCTCCCCAGTCCTCCACTCTTGTCCCTCCGTTTGAATACCGTGAAGGCTGCTCCCCAGTCCTCCACTCTTCTCCCTCTGTCTGAATACCATGAAGGCTGCTCCCCAGCCCTCCACTCTTCTCCCTCCGTCTGAATACCGTGAAGGCTGCTCCCCAGCCCTCCACTCTTCTCCCTCCGTCTGAATACCGTGAAGGCTGCTCCCCAGTCCTCCACTCTTGTCCCTCCGTCTGAATACCGTGAAGGCTGGTCCCCAAATACCCGACTCTTGTCCCTCCGTCTGAATACCGTGAAGGCTGCTCCCCAGTTCTCCACTCTTCTCCCTCCGTCTGAATACCGTGAAGGCTGCTCCCCAGTCCTCCACTCTTGTCCCTCCGTCTGAATACCGTGAAGGCTGGTCCCCAAATACCCGACTCTTGTCCCTCCGTCTGAATACCGTGAAGGCTGCTCCCCACTACCCCACTCTTGTCCCTCCGTCTGAATACCATGAAGGCTGCTCCCCAGTCCTCCACTCTTGTCCCTCCGTCTGAATACCATGAAGGCTGCTCCCCACTACCCAACTCTTGTCCCTCCGTTTGAATACCGTGAAGGCTGCTCCCCAGTCCTCCACTCTTGTCCCTCCGTCTGAATACCGTGAAGGCTGCTCCCCAGTCCTCCACTCTTTTCCTTCCGTCTGAATACCGTGAAGGCTGCTCCCCAGTCCTCCACTCTTGTCCCTCCGTCTGAATACCGTGAAGGCTGCTCCCCAGTCCTCCACTCTTGTCGCTCCGTCTGAATACCGTGAAGGCTGATTCCCCACTACCCCACTCTTGTCCCTCCGTCTGAATACCGTGAAGGCCGCTCCCCAGTCCTCCACACTTGTCCCTCCGTCTGAATACCTTGAAGGCTGCTCCCCAGTCCTCCAAGCTTGTCCCTCCGTCTGAATACCGTGAAGGCTGGGTCCATAGTGCTCCAGTCTTGTCCCTCCGTCTGAATACCGTGAAGGCTGCTCCCCAGTCCTCCACTCTTGTCCCTCCGTCTGAATACCATGAAGGCTGCTCCCCAGTCCTCCACTCTTGTCCCTCCGTCTGAATATCGTGAAGGCTGGGTCCATAGTGCTCCAGTCTTGTCCCTCCGTCTGAATACCGTGAAGGCTGCTCCCCAGTCCTCCACTCTTGTCCCTCCGTCTGAATACCGTGAAGGCTGCTCCCCAGTCCTCCACTCTTGTCCCTCCGTCTGAATACCGTGAAGGCTGCTCCCCACTACCCCACTCTTGTCCCTCCGTCTGAATACCATGAAGGCTGCTCCCCAGTCCTCCACTCTTGTCCCTCCGTTTGAATACCGTGAAGGCTGCTCCCCAGTCCTCCACTCTTCTCCCTCTATCTGAATACCATGAAGGCTGCTCCCCAGCCCTCCACTCTTCTCCCTCCGTCTGAATACCGTGAAGGCTGCTCCCCAGCCCTCCTCTCTTCTCCCTCCGTCTGAATAACGTGAAGGCTGCTCCCCACTACCCCACTCTTCTCCCTCCGTCTGAATACCGTGAAGGCTGCTCCCCAGCCCTCCACTCTTCTCCCACCGTCTGAATACCGTGAAGGCTGCTCCCCAGTCCTCCACTCTTCTCCCTCCGTCTGAATACCGTGTAGGCTGCTCCCCACTACCCGACTCTTGTCCCTCCGTCTGAATACCGTGAAGGCTGCTCCCCAGCCCTCCACTCTTGTCCCTCCGTCTGAATACCGTGAAGGCTGCTCCCCAGTCCTCCACTCATGTCCCTCCGTCTGAATACCGTGAAGGCTGGTCCCCAAATACCCGACTCTTGTCCCTCCGTCTGAATACCGTGAAGGCTGCTCCCCACTACCCCACTCTTGTCCCTCCGTCTGAATACCGTGAAGGCTGCTCCCCAGTCCTCCACTCTTGTCGCTCCGTCTGAATACCGTGAAGGCTGCTCCCCAGTCCTCCACTCTTGTCGCTCCGTC